GACAGCTATTAGATGTGTAATCCTGGGCAAGTCACTTCACTCTGTTTACCTTAGTTTCCTCATCTGTAAAATGATCTGGAGAAGGAAATGGCAAACCACTCCAGTATCTTTGCCAAGAAAACCCCCAAATGAGGTCACAGAGAATTGGACCCGATTGAAAAAATGACTGAACAACAATTTGTCTAGTAGTGCTGTATAGCTACACATTATAGACCCCCCTGGGCTCCAAAAAACTAAAGCAAAGAATCACATAAAGGGAAATGGTGAGGTGAAGGGAGATATGAGTTGACTGCAACATAAGCATCTGACCAGAAAAGGAAGGTGATCTCACTTATGTAGGATAACAGATCTACATTCCTCTAGAAGAGCCCCCCATTATATTGTGTGGTCCTTCCTAAGGAGGATTTATGGAAGGAGATGGACAAGAGTCCCATAGGATAAGGGGTGGCTGGATTGCAAGGTATACTGCTGGAGGGAGTTGAGGGAGCTAGCAACCAGTGAAATATTGGAGTCATAGGAATTTTGTATGGGAGCACACACACACACACACACACACACACACACACACACGCCCCTCTCTGCTGACAGTTGGCACAGGATCAGCATTCCCCATTGGTCCCTCTTCACAGGCCAGAAGGAAGGGGCTGGAACCTTGGTACACCATTTCCCAGAGGTTGTTGGCCCCAAATCTAGTCCTCAGGAGGATGCCAGTCTAGTCAAAAGAAACTTTTCTAAAAAACTAATCTTGGCTGCCTCCCTGACTTCATGTGTATGACAGCTTTATAAAGATGAAGATGAAGACTAAGATGAAGGAGGAGAATGAAGAGGAGAAGGAGGAGAAAAAGAAATATTAAGTATCCATTGCTCTCTGGAATTTGAATTCGGGCTGAGATCATAGTGACCTAAAACAGAACCTGAGGTAGTGATAGGGTGCTGGACCTGAAGGCAGGAAGAACTAGGTTCTAAACCTGCCTTAGACACTTACCAGTTGCGTGACCCCAAACAACTCATGTTCTCCCTCAGAGCCTCAGTTTCCTCATCTGTAAAATGAGGGGGTTGGACTAAATGACCTATAAACATTTTTCAAGCTCCAGATCTATGCTCCTATGATCTTCTATTTAAATTAGAAGAAAGTGAGAAATGACAGCTTGTTCATCTACCTGCTTCCATGCCAAAATTTTTCCTAATTGTGTAAGACAGATGGTCCTTCAATAAAAATGGTCTCATTTCCAATCAGAGGCTCCCTGCAGTTCAGCTGGATGGACTGTGAATCATGGTGAGCTTTTTAATATACTCCATTAAGAAAATGGGGGAACATAACCTTACATATAGGTAATGAAATATCCTGATCAATTTTTAATAGATTGCCTGCTAAGCACACAAGAGGCTTGGCTTTTTTTGTGTTTGTTTGCTGTTTAGTCGTGTCTGACTCTTCTTGACCCTATTTGGGATTTTCTTGGCCAAGATATTGGAGTAGTTTGCCATTTCTCTCTCTAGCCCATTTTACAGATGAGGCCAACAAGGTTAAGTGACTTGCCTAGGGTCACACACCTACTAAGTGTCTGAGGCTAGATTTGAAGTCAGGAAGAGGAGCCTTCCTGATTCCAAGCCCAGTGCTCTATTCACTGTGCCACCTAGCTGCCCCAACAAGAGATGGGTCATAGTTTTATTACACCACTATTTACCTGTCTGAGATAATTAAAATATAAGCATCTTAAAGACAAAGATTATTCTTTGTTTTATCTTTGCATCCCCAATACTTAAGACAGTACCATGAATACAATAGACAATAAATGCTTGTTGAATTAAATTGAATTTAGGCAAACGCCTGTAGTGGGGGGGGGGATGAACAAGGATAAAGCTCATGGAGAGAGTCTCCAATTCCATATTTCTAATATTCTATGGTGAACCCATATCTTCTGGGCTTCTGGCAAAAGTTCTATTGTAACAGAATATAAAGAAGAAGGGTTCTTTCTGATCTGGTTGAGGGGAAAGGTTGCCCAGGTATTTATTTTGGACTAGATTTTTCTGATGTTCTCATTGCTTTGCTTTTGCAAACCTACCTGTCTAGTAATAACTACAAACTGGATTTTCCCATTGCTCAGTTTCATTCAAAATTGGACACAAATTCGGCACAGATGAAAAGAAGGCCACCAACAGTCCGAACTGCAAGAACAGAGAGGAGGAGAGGAGAGAAAGACAGTTCACACAGACCCTTCTCTTTTTCCTTCATAATAGAAGTGGGTAGTTGACCAACCTTGAGAGAAATGCCAGAATCTTTTAAAGGGAGCATTTGTGAGATGAGAGGAAATGGTGCCAGCTTCAGCTATGCCAAAAATGTACATAGGTTTTTTCTTTATAACTCTGTGGGAAAGGAGAGAAAGAGATGAAAAATTAGAGAGCTGGGAACAAAAATGGCTAAATGTTTTCCTCCCAACTGTTTGTTATCTGATATGCTGCAGCATCTTTCATAAAAAAAAAAAAAGTCCTTCCAGCCTCTTACAAATGAGTGACTTTTAAAATACCAACAGATTTAATGAACCAGAAATGTTATTGGTCAGTTACCTGAGTGAAGAGGCATGTCTCCACCTCAAATTCTTGGACACAGATGATATAGCAACTGACAACAACATTTGATAACTGGTGAATCAAACTGTTAGTTTCCACAAACTTGTAGAATTAGGTCAGAGAATGAAGGGATCACTCAGTCTCTAGGAGATTGGATGTGGCCCCTGTCTGACTAACAGAGCAAAGAATGAGATTGGCTACCCTGTGAGCTGTGTCAGAGTATTGATCGGGGACCAAAAATGAATATTGAGGAAAGTGAATCTGTCCATTTCACTGATGCTGACAGAAAGATCAAAACAGGACATTCCATATAAAAATAAATAAATAAAGCAAGGAAGATAAATTGAAACCAATAAGTAAAATGTTGTAACATGTCCCCTTGTTCCACTCAGTCTCCCAAATAATTATTGACTCAGATGACTGGAAGGAAATTGAAGGGCCAAGGAAATCAATTCTATCACTTATTTATTGTGAAATGTTGGCTCTTTCACTTGCTTTCTCTGCACTTCAGTAGAATGCTTAGCTTCAGTAGAATGCTTACTGTAATTAAGGAGGATGCCACTATTTTGGAAGACTTTGAGTATTGTCATCAGTTTGGGGTACCATGTTTTTAGAAAGAACAGTGACAAATTAGGATGATTCCAAAAGAGGGTGAAGGGGATTGGAGGTTATGTCATAAGAGGACTACTTGAAGGAAGTAGGATGATTTAACCTGGAGCACAGAAGACTTATTAGGAGCATTCTGTCTCCAGTCTAATTCAATTCAAGAAGTATTTATTAGCTTTCCATTCTGTGCAAGATTCTGGGAATTGAGGGAAGAGGGGATACAGATACAAAAATGTAGTCATTCCTCTCCTTAAGGGGAGGGGAAACTATATGTATGTATATAAATATATATGTGTACATATATATATTAGGGGAAAGGAAGAATATATATAGACTATATTTATAGGCATATTCATATCTTTTAAAATATATTTTAATAATATTAATGGCATGTTAATAATATATTTAAATATTTATATAAACATCAAAATATGTTTTAAATCTATCATAAAATATATTTTTAGATTTATATAATATAAAATATACCTTATATTACAGATATATTTACATAACATAAATACAAGTAAATTTAAGCATTTGAAGATCTATCCTATGGAAGAGGAATTAGACTTTTCTGTCCAAAGAGCAATGGGTAGGAGTTGCAGAAAGATAGACACTCTCGAAGTGATCAGGGCTTATTGGATTTCTGGGTTTCCTAATAATTCCTAATAATTCACTGATCTAGAGGTAGAAGGGACCTCAGAGGCCTTCTACCTCAACCTCTTCATTTTACAGATAAGGAAATTGAGGTCCAGGGAGATTAAGTTTCTTGCCCAAGGTCATACAAGATAGCAAAATATCAGAAGCAGGATTTGGTCTTCTGACTCCGGAGATAGTAAGCATTCTACTGCACCACATGGCTTCCTGATTCAAACTGTCCCTGAGTAGAAGAAGAGACCTCTGAAGGACCACTTTGTCAGGGCTGTTGCAGAGGGAACTCCTGTTCAGATACCAGTTGGACTGCAGGGTCCCTGAGATTCCTTGCAGCTCCGAGATTCTGGAATTCTGTATATGTCATGAGGGTGTATGAATGGATCTTTAGGTCAAAGTGTTCTGTCTTGGTTTTTTTTTTTAATGGATATACACTGCATGATGATTAAGTGCATGAAAGCCCCAATGAAGTCAGAAAAGACTCTGATCTTGACACTTAGACATCAGCAGACATAGCATCAGAGGTCCTCTCCAAGAAACACAGATTTTTCAAGACTCTTCTAACTTCATTGGATTTTTTTTTAAAAAAAAATCTTTTTTATATTATGTAAGTCAACTCTCAGCCATCTAATGAAGTACCTACTTCATAAATTATCCAAGTGTTCCTTCCCTCTCTGGGCTGTTCAGGGAGAATGTGTGTGTTTATGTGCATGGGTTTGACGAGGCATGTGTTTTCCCCTGCATTCCCAAGCTGGAGAGACAAAGGTAGCAATCAGATCAGTGGCCATTCTTGATATTTCATGCCTCTTCTCCCTTCTGTAAGTTGCTTAAAGCACTTTATACATTTTTAAGCCCGTCCTGGCGGAGGAAGATGAGATTATCACTCATCTTTGGAGGTAGAGAAAAGGGACAAAGACCCAGAGGTTAAGAGCCTTGTTCAGTGATTTGGGCTCCACAGTCTCCAACCACAAAGCAAGGACTTTGTAACTATTCCGCATTAAGAGAGTATTCTTTTTCCTCCTACACTTAGCAGCTAGCCTCCTTTGAATCAAACTGCTGGCTGGCGCTGAGGACGGTAGGGTGGGTTCGCAGAACCTCTTCATCATTTTAGGGTGAACTTTGCTTCGTAATCAGCATGTTCTCTTCTTTGCCTCTTCTTACTGTTCCCATCCCAGGGTGCCGGCTGTACTGCGCTGGTGGTGGCTGTGGTTGCCAGAAAGTTGGAACTCACCAAAGCCGAGAAGCACGTTCACAACTTCATGATGGACACTCAGCTCACAAAACGGGTAAAAAGTCCCTCTGAAATGGGGAACGTTGAAAGCCCCGAGGAACAATGCCCCCTGCTCCGACTTCCCCAAGTCACATCTTGTGCAGTCACCCATTCCGGCAATGTGCCTTCGAATGGAATCCAGCTTCAATGGGCCTCCCCTTCCCACCCCTTTTAAAATGAAAAACTTCAATACTCCAAGGATTTTATCCCTCTATTTCTGCAGCGCAGGTCACGATCCCTCTCACCGTTAGTGGACATGCCTTTGGGGATTTGTTATGAGTGAAAAATATGTCACCTTATGGACAATCTGGTGATTAACATTTCCCAAATTAATTGGGTTACCCCGGGATGACAGCAATGCAGTTCCTTACTCAACCAACCAATCCACAAGCATTATTTAAGCACTTACTGTGTGCCAGACATTGTGGTAGGCAACAGGGATACAATGTGAAACGTAGGTCTCACAATTCAGAGCAGAGTGTTAATATTGCTATCTTTTGTCAAGTTACACTACCTCTCCTAGGACACTAAATAATTTTCCTGAAAATTAAATACATATGCAATAATGGTGAGGCAGACATGTAATAAGGGCTAATAATATAACCGCTAATATTTAGATATTGCTCTAAGGTTTATAAGATACTTTACAAATTTTATTTCATTTGATCAGCACAATAACTCTAGTCTGAGATAGTTGCTATTATTATTTTATAACTGCCTCCTCTAGCCGTGGTAGACTGGGACTACTGTCCCAAGAACAGAAATGTGATGTCTTCTACTACTAACAGCTAGCATTTATATAACACTTAAAAATTTGCAAAGCAACTTTATATGTTAACTCATTTGATCTCTACAACAATTCTGGGAGGTGGATGCTATTTATATCTCCATTTTGCAGATGAAGAAACTGAGGCTGAGAGAGGTTAAGTGACTTGCCCAGGGTACCAGTAGGTGTTTGAGGCAGAATGCAAACTTCCTGACTCTAAATCCGCCATTCACTCTGGCACTTCACTGCTCCCCAGATGAGGAAATGGTCCCAGAGAAAGGAAAAGACCAGCCTCCTGCCCTTGCCACTACCCCCTTGTTCCTCATTAGGAAGCACAGCAAAGACTCTTTAAAATGTTACTGCAAATGTGCCTGATGCCTGTCTTCAAATAAGACTCATTAAGAGACACAATTCCAGAAATACCCAAATTTCCAAATGATGGCTCATCAAAGCAACATCATCCCATTTTTTTCCTCTTTTGGTTCTTTTCCTAGTAACGGCTCTTCCTTGCACCTTTGTCAAAGTAGTTAAGTAGGATGACAAAACTGAAATTCTCATCTCCGAGGGAGCTGGCAGATCATTTAGCCACTGAAAGTGAAGCCCAACTCCAGTCCAAAATTGTCAAAGAAGAAAATGCTCATTTAGAACAGACAGAAATGAGTCTACCATGATGACAACAGGCCAAATGATCAAGTCAGGGATTGTTTATTTAATGGCAGTTTTTATGACAAATTCTTTAGCACTGCTGTCTGAATGAAGGTCATGAATATGATTTCCTACTAGCTCATCCTTTCCCTCCAGAATGAACCCCTTTTTTGAATGCAGTAGCTGTCAATGTACAACAGCCAGTCTTCCTCATTTGTTACATAGGGGATTTATTCCTTAGCAGAATTTTGATTTAGTACTCTGAGAGGGAAATGAAAAAGTAAATGATTCATGTTACAGAGCAGTGGGAAAATGATGTGTTACAAACTGGGCAAGAGAGATGAAGTTGGGGGGGGGAGAGGGAAGTGGGAGAAGAAATGAGAGGGGAAAGGAGGAAAGACGGGAAAATAGAGGGAGAAAGAGGGAAGTGAAGGAGGTAGAGAGAGGTAAAGGGAGACAGGAGAGAAGGAAACAGAGAAGAGGAAATGGGAAAGGGAGAGATAAGGAAAGGGGGAAGAGAGAAGGAAGAGGGAGAGGGAGAAGGAAAAAGGGGAGGTGGAGAGAAAGAAGGAAAAGGAGAGAGAAGGAAAAGGGAGAGAAAATGAAATGGGGAAAGACCAAGGGAAAGAAAGGTAAAGAGAAAGAGGGAGGAGAGAGAGGAAAATGGAGGCAGAAGGAAAGAGGGGGAAGGAGAAAAGGGGAGAGGGGCAGAAAGGATGAAAGAACACAAAAGGGGAAAAGAAGGTAAGCTTACCAAGGCCTCTCCAATTTCTATTAAAGCAGTTTCTCAAGAGAATTTTTTATGGTGTTTGACTGCTTTGTTTTTAATTGTGTTTATTGAGCTTTATAGAGCCAACATAGAGGTTAAAAGGAAAAGGTACAGAGCAATATTCTTATTCTGTTGATATAGCAACTGCTGTACATACCATGTCATAGTGGTGGGTTAGCTGTTGTTCAGTTCAACAAAAGGAGGTATTTTATGTGCGTAAGCGGTTGTGTCCTTCATAGAAGACTACAAAGGCTATAACTATCTCTAAGGACTGTTAAACATTTGAGTACAGAATCACATTACCTTTCCTCTTCCCCTCAATCTTCTATTCCACATGAATGAGCCATATTCAGTAATTAAGGGAATCTGGGAAGATTATTTGTACCCAAATGGAAATATGCCTGCATCTATTATCCTGGAAAGTCCTTGGGTAAATCACTTTACTTCTCTGGGTCTCTGACTTTTTTTCTGCAGGGGTGGAGGGCAGAAGAGATTTTTGCCTCCAAACCTTCTCAGAAATAGCTATTTGAAATTCCCTAATCTGAGAGCACCATACCAAGAAAAGGACCCCAGGAAATTGAATGAATAGCATTTTAAAAAAAATTTATTTACTTTTAAACTAAGGACACACTTGAACTTCCCTCTTATTCCACGATCAACGCTCCCTCAGTGAAGCAGACACCAGACTCCTGAAAAACAAAGTGAATTTCAGCCCCTTTGTGATCTAGAAATCTCAATGTGTGCAGAAGAGTCCGTTAAGAAAATTAAACAAATCTTCTGGAACATAATTATAAAAGGTTATGAGGTTTTGGTTAATTTTGAGCTTTTAAAATAACTCCATAATATTCTCCTTCAAATCCAGTTACCTTCAGAAAGACAAGAGCAAAACTCAAATCAGTCAATATTTATTGAGTCCCTTCTATGTGCAGGGTGTCTTATGTAATCAAAGACCAGCCCCAATGGAGGCTCTTAAAGTTTATGCCATATCATAGGATCATAGATATTTTTAAGCATCAAAGATTTAGAGCTGGGACTTTAGAGATCATATAGCCCAACTCTCTCATTTTACAGATGAGGAAACTGAGAGCCAGGGAGTTTGTGACTTGTCCAAGGTCATACAATAAGTGGCAAAACTAACGTTTTTTTCTTCCAAAGAACTAAATAGTAGAAAAGTCCAATAGGTAGAAGCTTTTCAAATCAGGAAGCACTGGGACTTTAGAAACCTCTTTTACATCACCTTAATTGAAAGAAAACCAAATTGTTATTCTTGGCCTGCTGCTATTTGAGTTCAATTTGACCTGTTCACAAATGAAGCCCACCTTTCTTTTTCAGAATGAATTCCTTAGTCTATTTTCCATTTAATTCAGTTCTTTTCTAGTTTCTCTAAACTGCCCTTTGGGCCTAGATGGAAAAATTCACAGATCAAAGAAACCTCCAAAGTTTGGTATATAGTATATTCATAAGATCTCAGCAAATTCAGACAGAGAGGAAGGGAGAGAGGCAGGGGAAAAAAGGGAGAGAGGTAGAGAGAGGAGTGTGAGGAGAGACAAAGACAAAGACAGAGAGAAAGAGAGACAGAAACAGAGAGAGACAGAGACAGAGAGAACTACCTGATCTGGAAAGAAATTATCATGATATAATCACAAACCTCCCAGGAAGTAGGTAAGTGAGAGTTTTAACAACAGATGGAAACAATCACTTGGAAATCTATAAAGAAGACCAATTCTTGTTTAAATACCAAAGCCAAACCATATGGGGAAATATATTATAATTTATTAATCACAACAATTTACTTCCACTGTGGTCACACTGACTGATTTACTCCCCAATCTGACCTCATGCCTTTTTTTTCCTATGGTATAGCTGTGGACCTGAGTTCAAATCCCACCTCAGACACTTATGAGTTATGTGACACTGAACAAGTCCTCTTGTTCAGGAATCTTGGCCTGCCTCGGTTTCCTCGTCTGTAAAATGAGAAAAATAACAGCACCTACTTTGCAGGGCTGTTGTGAAGATCAAAAGAGGTCATCCTTGTAACATGTTATGCAGACCTTATAAAGTGCTATATAAATGCTAGTTGTCATAATGGAGGCAGCTGGTGGTACAGTAGATAGCACTGGGCCTAGAATCAGGAAATCCTGAGTTAAAGTCCAGACTCAGACCCTTCATAGGGTTGTTGTGAGGATCAGCTGAGATAGTGCCTGTCATATAATAGGCATTATATAAATATTTATTCCCTTTCCTCATAATGAGTGTTAGTGATACTAGCACCTTTATTTATCAGCAGGAGGAAAATGAAAAAGAATAAAACCATGGGTCAGCTAGGTTGCTCAGTGGATAGATCACCAGCCCTGGAGTCAGGAGGACCTGAGTTCAAATCTGGCCACTTACTACCGATGTGACCCTGGGCAAGTCATTTAATCCCAATTGCCTCAAAAAAAAAAATAAAGCTAAAACTTGGGTGAGGTCATCAAGCTTTGCCCCTTGGCATTGATATGGGGTAGGGTTAGAGCTAGGGGCTTCCATCTCTGGGCTTCACAATAATAATAATAGCTATCATTCATGAAGCACTGTAAGGTTCACAAAATCCTTCACTTATATTGTCTCATTTAGTGCTCACAATATTCCTATGAGATGGTATTATTATTTTGCAAATGAGGAAACTGAGGATGAGAGAAGTTAAGCTACTTGCAGAGGTTCACACAGCTACCCACAGCCTGGGTAAGGCAGGGTTTCTGAAGAACTCAGGTCTTCCTGACTCCAACTCTAACTACTCTGTCCACTATCCCACCTGGCTTCTAGGGGTATAACTGCTCCTCACTGGTGGCTCAGGTTG